ATTGTAAAATTATGTTACGCCCATTTCACTATCATGTTTTCGCCATCGTCGCCACCTCCATTATCATTTGAAATGAAGTGTATTACACACATTTTGCCGCCTATTTCCATTGCACCATGGCTAGTGATCCCATCACTTGCAACATTTACCATCACTATCATTGTCACCACTACCCCTTGTAACATTTATTTTTACAATGTCATCGTCGCCTATTGTCATCGATCTTATATATATGTTGTACTAAGTTTATGCTTGCACTAATTTAATTAACCCATCTTTGAATTGTGTACAACTCTGTCCTATGAGTTGGACAATAATATAAAAGGATCTTAATTGAGTATGTTACGAAGCTTCAGTCACTTGCCACGAGACAGCAAGTTAACAAGCCACCTCAAGCCCACACGCAACATCCATTCACTTGACTAACCCAATCGAGGCCACCAAAAAGAGGAAGTTAAAGTGATACATCACCTCAACCGAGGCATTATGAAGAGACCGAACCTGCATGGTCGAGGCAAGGTGCCACGATCTGCTATATCCCATAGCCTTTGATTTCACAAAGGCATTTCCCTAGTTTCACCTCTTCTAAGAAATCTTCCATACAAAATTATCTATGATTGATTGATGTGACCTAGCTATAGGGTGACGCATTGGCTATTAAGATGAGGTCACATATCTTTCATTCAATGCTAACTACTTCATATTTTTCATTATAAAAACTCACACTTGGTATAATTTTAAAGGTAATACTATTTTACACTCACATTTTGTAACTCGGTCTTCATTGTTTCCTCTCGACAATCCGATGCCAGTACACATACTTGTGGTTCATGCCTTCCATCCATCCCACTCCTATATATAAGTTAATTAGCTTGATCGTCGAAGTGCTTGTGGAAGACCACGTACTTCTATCAAAATGTGCGGAGCCTTACACATGGATTTCATATGTCCTCAAACTTTTCCCTAACTCAAAACTAGTCCTACAACTTTTTGGTAACTATGTTTTAGTCTTCAAACTCTGCTTAAACTCAAAACAAGTCCTACAACTTTCTACTAATTCCATTTCAATCCAAATATTTCTGGTAACTACAAATCAATCCTCAAGCTTTACATTAACTTAAAATAAGTCCTACAACTTTCTACTAATTTCATTTCAATCCAAAACATTCTGGTAGCTACAAATTGATCCTCAAACTTTTCCTTAACTCAAAGCTAGTCCTACAGCTTTCTATAAATTCTAATTCAGTCTAAAACTTTTTGAAATCTACATTTTCAATCCTCGAACTTGGTTATTAACATGAATATGTCCTTGAACTTTCCATTCACTTAAAACTAGTCTTACAACTTTTTTTCTAATTCCATTTCAATCCAAAACTTTCTTGCAACTATAAATCAATGTTCCATCTTTCTGTTCACTTCAAATGCGTCCTTGAACTTTCCTTAACTTAAAACCAGTCCTCCAACTTTTTATAAATTCCATTTCACTCTAAAACATTCTGGTAATTACAAATCAGTCCACGATCTTTTTGTTACTACAAATATATCCTCGAACTTTGCCTTAATTGAAACTGTCAAAAAAGAGTGACATGGTCATCAAACTATTATAAAACTATTATCCAGACCTCCATTTATTAGTAAATAGCAATTTGGTCATCTAACTATTGGAAAACAACAATACTACCCTCCAACTACTAGTGTAATGCAATTTGGTTCTTAACCATTAAGAAGCAACAAATTTATCCTCCATGAGTTACAAACTACAAATAGTGATTTGGTCATACAACTACTGTAAAACGTTCATTTACTCCTCAACTATCATAAAACAACAATTCGACTATCAAACTATACATGAGCAACAAATTAGTCTGCGAACTACTGTTTAACATCAACTTTTCTCACCTACTATTATAAAATAGTGATTTGATCATCCATCTATTAGATAATTTCAAACCAATCCTCCAACTATTAGTAAATAGTGATTTGATCATCCATCTGACCATCTTTTTCATGATGATAAATTAGTAACTACTGCAAACAGGCAATGATCCAAACTATTCATAGGCAATAATTTGGTCCTCCAACTATGCTAAAGCGGTATTTTGGTGAATAAAGAATAATTTCATACACCAACTTTTGTAGTCAACAATTTGGTCCTACAACTATACAATTATGACATTTTGGTCCCCAACTATTTTATGGATACAATTTCATCCTCCAACTATGATCAAGCGGTAATTTGGGCCTAAAACTACCTTGAGACAACAATTCGATCCTCCAACTATGCTGAAGCAATTATTTGGTCCTACAATTATTCTAATGCAATTGTTTGGTCCATCAACTACTGAATGGCTATGAATTTTTCCTCAAACTATTAGTAGGCGACAATTATTTTTTCCTCCACCTATGTTGAAGTTGCAGTATGGTCATACAACTTTTCGATTTAATAATTTGGTCCAGACGCTAATTCACAGGCCACAATTTGGTACTTCAACTATTCAGAGGCAATAAAGTTGGCCTTTTAACTATTAATGGGCAACAATTCGATCCTCTAACTATGTTGTAGCGACAGTTTGGTCCCCGTATTATTTAGAAATGACAATTTGGTACACCCCGTTTCCATTAAAAATTCCCTCACCCAAATCCCTTTATCCCCGTTCCACCACCTCCGCCGCCTATCCCGGCCACCAAATCGCCTTATCACCACGCCAGCAATGTCTTTTTGCTCAAATCACCATCACATCCGATAACAAAACACCGTAGATTTAAAATGAGCAAAACAGAATCATGTTGTAACAACAAATTTAAAGGTAAACATTACGGTTAATTATAGAAAAATCACGTTATAATCTCTAGATCCGATGTCTCTAAAGGAAATAAGTGAATACACCATTGTCGCCTCCATCTGTTTGCAAGATCTTCAGCTCATCGTCACCACCTGAAATTTCAGATATAAATTCGGGTCAAGAAGGAGAAGATCCGACTGCTGCTGGTGGTGGTTTAGGGGTGAGGAAGGAGAGGAGTAGGTGGAGGAGGTGGAGTGGACGAAAGGCAAATTATGAAAATGAGAATTTTGTGAAAAAGAAAAGGATGCAAAATAAGCTTCATAAGGGGGCTTTAGTTTTGTTTCAAAGGGCACAAAAAATTAATTTGGAAACTAATATGTTCATTATTTCCCCGGTGCTTTGTGCTTGTGCCTTGGTTGCTTTAATGAAACAGAAACAAGTGCATGCTGTGGTGTGTAAAAGTGGTTTTGGTACAAATATTTATATCGCTTCTGCTCTCTCAGATGTGTGTGCAAAGTGGGGAAGCATTAAAGAATCTTATATTGTGTTTTCAAATATAGAGGAGAACAATGTTGTTCTACGGAATACAATGATTTCAGGTTTTGCCAGACATGCTAGATCTTTGGAGGCTATGGTTTTATAATTTATTTCAGAAAATGCAGCAGATAGGCTTGTACCCAAATGAAGTTACTCATGTTTCAGTATTATCAGCATGTGCTCATATGGGGTTGGTAAAAAATGGGCAAAAATATTTTGACACGACGAAGAAAGAACATAATCTGTCTCCCAATATCTTAAACTACTCGCGTATGGTTGTTATTCTTGGTAGGACAGGCCTAATCGATGAAGCTAAGGATTTAACTGACAAAATACCATTTGATGCTACTGCTTCCATTTGGGGATTACTTTTGGCTTCCTGCAGGGTTTATAGAAATGTGGAGTTGGCTGAGTTAGCTGCTAAAAAAGTTGTTCGAGATTGAACCTAATAATGCCGGAAATCATGTATTGCTTTCCGACATATATGCTGCCCATGGAAGGTGGGAGGATGTTGCATTTGTGAGGAAGCTTCTTAAAAGACAGCAAAATCAAGGAGAGAGGAAACAGTTGGATTGAAATCAAAGACAAGGTTCACTGTTTCATGGTTGGCAATGTCATCAAAGGATTGCTGAGATTTATTCAAGGTTGGATAAATTGCTGGAAGAGATGGAGAATTCAGGATACAAAGGTGATATTGAACATGATCTACATGACATTGAAGAAAGTTACAAAAAGGAACTTCTGAAGCACCACAGTGAGAAGCGGGCTTTACTTTTGGGCTAATGTGCTTCCCTTCTGGTGCACCTATAAGAATCATGAAAAACCTTAGAATCTGTGGGGATTGCCACTCTTTTATGAAGGTTGCTTCAGTTGTAACAAGAAGGGGAATCATTGTTACGGATAATAATCGCTTTCACCATTTTAGTGAAGGACATTGTTCATGTGGAGAATTTGGTAATATGAATGCATGATATGGAAGCTCGTTCTGGATTATGTATTCCATCTCATCTATAAGAGGTTGGCTCTACAATTTTTGAGTATTGCATTCTATTGGTGTTTCCTTCTTGAAAGTGGATTGAGAAATTTATTCACATGTATGAACTCTTGTCAGGTTGTGTAGATTCATATTTATAGCTCAGAGATATAATTCACTATGGCTGAAGCCTGAAGGTCAAGAAAATTATAAGAACATTGAAATATGAGAAATAAAGAAATGGATCTAGGCTCTGGAAGCTGCTAGAGGAAATGGTACCAGCACGATCTTCCTGATCATACCCCCTTTGGATCAAATATCTCAGGTCACTAAAATGCTTGCAGAAGTGTATGAAACAGCTTCAAATATTAAGAGCAAGGTGAAACACAATCACATCTGCTCAGTAGAGGCTTAAACTTATAACAAAGTACACCCGAATGGATTAGTGCTCTATACTGGAACTATACTGACTGAAGACGGAAAGGAGAAGAAAGTTACCTTTGACCTTTAAGCCCATAAATGCCTCTTTATACCTTTGCGACACTAAACTCTGATGCAAAGTTTGGGTTTATTGTCCGGGATGGAAATGGCACTCGTTTTAGGACCTCAAGTGGTAACACTTAAGAAGTGCTTCACAAATTTCAGTAGACCTTCTAAAGAAACACAGAAGAGGAGGACAATCAGCTCCTAGGTTTTCTTGTCTTCGAATGGAAAAACACCACAATTATGTAAGAAACACAGCAGAGCTTGCTACTCAATTCATTTATAACCCTGCAACGAGCCAACCGAATGTATCAGGATTAATACTTGCTGGATCAGCTGATTTCAAGACTGACCTGAGCCAATCCGACATGTTTGATCCTGGCATCTAGGCCAAGATATATAATGTGGTAGATGTGTCGTATGGAGGAGGAAATGGTTTCAATCAGGCCATTGAATTATCTGCTGAATCTCTTTCCAATGTGAATTTCGTATGAGAAAAGTGCTTGATTGGGAAGGTTTTTTTTTTCCTGAAGAAATCAGTCAAGATACTGGAAATATGTTTTTGGTGTCGATGACATGATCTTTGGTTATGGGAGCCGCAGAAACATTGATTCTACGGAAAATTTGAATATAAATCGTTATGTGCTCAAAAACAGCACAACAAATGAGATTGTCATTAAACACTTAAACAAGGATCAGGAGGGTGACCAGAGCAACTTAAAGGATTTAGAGACATCTGCTGAATTGGAGGTTCTAGACAAAGTGCTATTGCTGGAGTGATTTGCTAACGAGTACAGAAACTTTGCCTGTACACTTGAGTTTGTCACGAACAAGTCTCAAGAGGGATCACAGTTCTGCCGAGGATTTGGTGGCATTGAGGGAATTCTTCGCTACCAAGTTGAGGTTTGATATTTTGATGGGCCATCTGATGATGAAGGATTGTACGAGGATTCAGATTATGTTGAGCTGATACTGATGATCATGAAGCAAAGATGACAAAATACTCAAGTTGTTGATTTTAATGAAATAAAATAACAGAACACAATACTCCCATGAAGCTCCCTGTCCCTCCCAAGTTTATTTCATTGAAACATATTTTCTGTTACATGGACAATTCCCAATTACTAGGTTTTAT